AAACACATAACCTTCAAAATCCATCTTCTCAGACGTACCGGAGTACCATTGCCCCGATGATTAATCACATTCCGTCACCCACTCACTTACCATCAACGATGAGAAGAATCTTCGGGCACCCAACACTAGAAAAAATTCCCAAGAACCTTAAACATCAAATTAACTCAAACACTTTTGAAAGAGGCACTAATATAAAAGTGAGAATTCCTCTATCGGCGCCATCCGATAAACTTACCGGTCGCGGTACCACAGTTTATGGTACTAAGTTACTATCTTTATGGTACTACGGTTTATAGGTACCGGCTCCTCGCGATGCGGTTCGATCTCGCAAGAATGTCGAATACAGTCTCCGAGAAGTACCACTAGTACCGATCGCATCCGGGAGTATCAACAACCTGTTGCATGGAAGGAGAAGAACGGACTGTACAATTGTAATTGTACATATTGGGCATTCTGGTCTGGTACCGGCTCTACATACGGGTGTGTTTCCTTTATGATGATGGCCAAAAATTTGCAATAATTTTTTCGCAAGTTCAAAATATATCATGGTAATCGTTCGACTTGAATAATTTAGGTACAACTCATTCTGTAGTTCGGTACTAATGCAATAAAAGCGATGAGACGATTTTTGTCTTCTTCTACTTACTACCTTTTGGTGTCTATTCTGTAACAATTCCTTTATCTTTAACGGCCTTTAAAAATATTGGCGGCCTATAAAAATATGTTCGTATTCGTTAATTTACTTCTGTCATTATTTAAACAGATTTCTTTAAGATAGTCCTTTAATGTATTTTAAAGATCCGTTTAAATAATGACAGAAGTAAAGAAGAAAATATTTTTAAATGCCGTTAAATATTAAGGAATTGTTACAGAATAGACCCCTTTATGTGTTATATTAATAGGAGAACAATTTATTCCAAATAATATACAGTAAATAACAAATATTACACAATAATTATACAGGGTGTAACTAAATAAGTGTAAAACATTTAAGGGGGTGATTCTTCATCGAAAAAAAGATAGGTTCTTTCCTATAAAGAAACTTCATTGGAGCATCCCTTGTTAAGATACAGCCTCTTAAAGGGGGTACATAAAATTTGTTTAACAATTTTTTTCACAAGCACTAAACAAGTTACAATATTGAAATTAACCTGACATTTTCTACTACCAAAAAGACGCTTACCCAGTAGTTTATTTGGTTTACCCCATGGTTGTAAGGGGTGGAAAACGCAACCCCTAAAATTTCGTTCCAACGTAACTTTTTGTCTTATTATTTGTTTACCATTTAAAAATTTATTTCCGATAGCCTGTTTCATTCTAAACAAAAAATGTCTCTTGAATTTTTTGCCCAAAATAAACCAGTTCGCAGGAAAAATTATTTTACGAACAAGATAGATATCGCCATAAAACGAAAATACGAAACTAATTTATCTAGTAGGCCGCTATTAGCGATACTGACAATTACATTGAAATCAAGCTGTCAGTTTGTAAATTTTTGAAATTGAAGTAATACTAATTGTGTATTGTTGTTCTGTTCGTAATTTGTTACTTTATGACGATGTATCTCTGTAGTTGTTCGTAAAATAATTTTTTAACTTTTTAAGTAACACATAATTTAGAATAAAATTTCAAGAATTTAAAAGCAGTTTTTATTAGATCCTAATTTCCTATTATTATACGCTGTTGCTAGGTACACGCTAAAGTGTACGCAAATCAAAAAATTACATACACGTGAAACCTCATATTGCTGTGGTGGGAGGTGTTTGTGTGAATGCGTCTTGTTTGTTTTCATTTACGCCGTGACTAGCACAGTAATATTTTATAAACCTTAGAAGCAATTTTCACATACATGAACAAATAATAACAATGCCGTGACAACAAGAAAACGAAGCAACGACTTCTCGTAAGGTGGCGGCTTCGCCGCCACAAAAAATTTCAATCCATACCTAGCTACGATCGGCGTAAACACCAACGGCCTGCACACAGCTCACCTACTCTGTCAAGACGTTTCGCGTGTATATAAATTTTTGAATTGCGTACAAGTTAGCGTGTACCTAGACACTGTGATTATTATACCGTTTTGATAATGAATATACTGTACAATAATAAATACTGGTGATGTATTTTTATTATTTAATTAGATTTGTGGCCATCACTCACTGCTATGTACCTCCTCATCCTCATGATATAAAATAATATGCCCGCTCATGTACCACATTACAATTATTATTAATATTAAATGAACAAACATTAAATTGATGTTCCTTAATTTAAAAACCTGCCGACTTTGTTCACAATACACAATAAATATAATTTAAAACATATTATGAAGTTAATGATATTTAAAAATTAGTAGTTTTGGAACTTAAACTAGTAGTTTTTGTATCATGGATCTATATTTAAGGATTTATAACATACCAAATCTTGTTCCAGACTAACTAACTAAATTCTAATGTCTTTTCGAATATTATGCAGCACAGTTTGGACCAGTTTGTGTTGGATAATTATAGAATATTATTAATCAAGTGCATAGTTGATAAATATGTTAGTATCCGACTAACATATCTCACTAAAACTAGAGTTAATAAAGCTGCTAGCATAAGACATCAAAACAACAAAATAGTGTTGTTTAAAGGTCAATAAATATTTTTTTAAATAATAAAAAAAATTTTGTAGTGTTTTATTAAGAATGGGACACAGAAAAACTGAAGAGTTACCTATAATTTTACCAAATTTGGCAAAAGTTTTTGGTGTCATAAGATACGTCACACTTATTTGAACTATAATTATATATTTTTTGATGTTTTTTAAGTAAATCATATAGGTACTTTTGTTGGGAACTTATAAGAAACTTCAAAATTAAAATGAAGAATATTCGCATTCTAAGCATAGTCTTATTTTTAATCAGACTCTTCAGTTGTTCTGTATCCCTTTCTCAATGAGACACCTTGTATATAAACTTCCCATTTGAACAATTTTATATTTTTTAAGTATGTACAATACAGGTGTATCAGAAATTAAAGCAAAAAGACATTATAACAAAGGTTTAAATTTAGTAATGTCAAGTCATCCTTGCACCCTAAAAAAGTACCAATGAAGAAATTATTCCTCCAATGCAACCAAACAGTTATTTTTAGGATAAGATTTTGTGTCAAATGTTATCCACAGCCACAGGGTTTCTTTTTAAATGGCATGACATTCAAAATTTTGGTCAAAACAATTTTCATCATGCACTTTTCTTGGAAATTCACAATGCTTTATTAGGATTAAAAACACCAGTTTCTAGAAACTTTTTCACTATAACATTAACATTACTGATCAGAAAAAGTGGTTAAAGTTTTCTTTTTGTAATCACAAATCGCAACTGAATGCCTATTTTTAAAATAAATTATCTCTATAATTCCATTTGTATAGTTGTATGCTGTGCATCTGTGAGATTGTTGTTTATTATACATAGGTACCAATTATAGAAACCTTTAGTAAGTACTTGCTTGCAATTTTAGTAATATATGTACCTACCCTATATAATTAATTATTTCAAACATAAATAAAACCAACAACTATTATCTGAGTCTTTTTAGTTCCGATTGGTTTTGACAGAGTAGTTTTGATCATGGTTTTCTTCCATCTACTTTTAACCATAAAGTCATACCTAGCTGAATTTTTGGTCTTTTTAAACTTTTGACTGTAGCGGGTCATATTTTTAATGTATGTCATCTGCAGCAGAAAGACCTACATGTTTTACATTTAAAAGTAATTAATTGTCCTTTCTACAAACTCGGCTGTATTTTTACTGAAATATATTTATTCACAATTCACGTAGTGGTTTGGTTTTTGGTTTGGAAATTTGATGTCATAATTCTCCTCATTGTCAGATTTTGACATTGGCAGCTTTGATCAAGACAAGAGAGTCCTTGAACGAAAAATCGTAGTTCGGGTTTTAATTTTAAAGCACAAAGAGATTAACAAATCTGATGCACAGTATTATTTGAACGTTGATTTTCGATCACACAGGTCATATATTGGACAGAACAATATAATAATATTAATCTCTTTTATGGTCTTGGCATTGGCTTGGTCGGAAAACAGTTAATAAATAATAGTAAAGAGTGTAGAAGTCATAATTGCGCAATGTCATCAAATTAATTTCGGATCGATCATGTTGAAACAAATCTTAGGTAAGTAAGTCATTTAAAAGTTGTAATTCTGCATACAGACTTTAATTATATTTGAATACGACCCTGCTCAGTCAACCATTTAAGCCACGCTCAGTGGGGTCATTTTTAATAAAATGTATCATATGCAAAACAATTGCCTCATGGCATCTCCATTAGTATGCGCTAGTTCAGTGTGATGTCATTTTGGTTCCACTGACATTTAATTCTAACCAAACTTTTAACATAAACATCAATAAATTTGACGTACTATACGTTTTTACTGTTTTCAGTTTATTTCTAAATATTGTTTACAGGTCATAAAAAATAGTTTAAAGGTATGTCATTGGTAACTAAACGATTGAATATTTGATGCATGTTATCTACTTACTTTAGGAATATATTTATAAAAGTGAAGAAACGATATAATTTAGGTAAACAAAATGAACAAAACGCACTCAAAAAATCTACTGTCACTTTAATTGTCAGTGGAACCATAAATACATCATCACTGAACCAGCGCACCTCCATGCAATGGACACATTTAAAATTTCTGTCCATCTTTTTATAAAGTTTGCCAAATTGACTGTAGTTGGCGGGTCGAACGTTAGTGACGTTAATTTTCTCTGTAAGTCAATGTGAAATAAAATTTTTTTGAATTGGTGAAAATAATCCAAATAATGTGAAAAAAAGTATACACCGAAGCTATAAACGAAAAAAAAAATATAGGCTAGAAAAAGAAAGAAGAAATGTCTTCTTTTTATTTTTAACGTTTTTACAATTGTATAAAAACGTATTATTCAAAAGGCCAAAGCAAATAGAGAGAAGACATATTATTGCTTCACTTGTCTTTCGTGTCATTTAATGACCAATTGTCAAATTTTACATAAATGTTTAAAATGATCAGATCAAAATTCTAGTGATTCCAGTTCTTCAAAATGCCCCAAATCGATTATAATAGTAACTAAATCACTACAATCACTTTCAGGTACAGTCTATCATAACTAAACAACCCATTAAAGCAAGAAATAATTTAACATTCCCAATAGAACAGCCGTAGAGTAATGGAAACAGGATGTGATCGAAAATGTGGTGGTCAGTCTAAAGAAGAATGTTCTGATAACTGTCCAGGTACAAAGAAAGAATTAAAATCATGTAACAAACTTCAGGGATGTCCTGGTCGCAGTTGTACAGGTGAAGGTTGTTCGTGCTGGGGTTGCAAAATAAAACCAGCAAACACCGAATTGTCATGTCGCCCATGTTGTCCAGGAATGCCTGTTACGAAAATTGAGAGCAAATGTCGACCATCTTGCCCAGGAACGACGCTTGGTAAAGTCGAGAGTATGTGCCGGCCATATTGTCCGGGGTATGCCCCTCAGCAAGACAATAAATGTTCTACTGGTTGTCCTGGACTTGGAGATAAAAAAGACACAACTGAAGAAATCAAATGTGCACTATCTTGTCTTGGTCAACAAAAATCTGAAGCTAATTGTTCACCAGATTGTCCAAATCAACAAAAACCAAAAGGATGTAATAAATTAGGAGGTTGTCCAGGTTATTCTTGCACTGGATCAGGTTGTAAATGTTGGGGCGGCCATCCGCCTGGTATAGCAGCCGAGAAAAAAGAATCTCATAGTTGCCCTCCAAGTTGTCGACAGCCACAAATAAATCAACAACAGGCGACGGGTAAAAGCCTTTCGGTACAGACTTTCGAATGTCCTCCAAGTTGTCAATCATCAAAAAAGAATCAACCAGAGTCACAAAGTTGCTCTCCAACTTGTAAATCACTTTCAACGCCACCCGCACCGGCTTCAGCATGTCCTTCAAGTTGTCAGTCTCCTCAAAAGGACAAATCAGAAACACAAGGTTGTCCACTAACTTGTAAAGCACTACCGCCGCCTCCTTCTACAATGATTTCTGTATGTCCTGCTAGTTGTCAAACAAATAAAATAAATCAACCACAGCCACAGAGTTGTTCTCCAACTTGCAAATCATCATCACCACCTCCTCAACTGACTCCGTCATGTCCTCTAAGCTGTCGCCCTTCTACGATTAATCAAAAGCCATCGAATTGTTCTCCAAGTTGTCCAGGAAATCAACTGAATCAACAACAGCCACAGACTTGTCCTCCAAGTTGTAAATCAGCACCAGCTCCGTCTCAACCGGCTCCATCATGTCCTCTAAGTTGTCGTCCGTCTTCAGTGAATCAATCAAAAGGTTGTCCTCCTAGTTGTATACCACTACCACCTCCACCACAACAACCTGCACCGATTTCGCGTTGTCCCCCAAGTTGTATACCACTACCGCCACCACCACAACAACCTGCACCGGTTTCGGGTTGTCCTCCAAGTTGTGTACCACTACCACCACCACCACAACAACCTGCACCGATTTCGGGTTGTCCTCCAAGTTGTGTACCACTACCACCACCACCACAACAACCTGCACCGGTTTCGGGTTGTCCCCCAAGTTGTGTACCATTCCCACCACCACCACAACCACAATATACTCCTACTTCGGGATGTCCTCCAAGTTGTATACCACTTCCACCACCACCACAACCTATTCAAACACCGGAGTATCCTCAATCATGTATACCTTCACCTACAATACCAACTTCCGGAGCATGTCCTCTATGTTGTCAACCTCCACAGCCACAGAGTTGTCCACTTACTTGTGGACCACCACCATCACCAACACCGGTATCTGGATGTCCTCCAAGTTGTCAAACACCCCCACCTCAACCTGTACAACCTTCGGCATGTCCACCATGTTGTCAGCCACCTCAAATAAGTCAACCACAAGGTTGTCCTCCAAGTTGTAGACCACCATTACCGCCACCAACACCGATTTCGGGATGTCCCCCAAGTTGTCAACCATCACCTCAATTTTCACCTCCATCGGGATGCCCTTCATGTTGTCAACCACCGCTACCACCACCTCCACCGACTTTGGGATGTCCTTTATGTTGTCAACAACCTCCACCTCAACCGACTTCAGGATGTCCTCCAAGTTGTGGACCACCTCAAATAAGTCAATCACAAGGTTGTCCTCCAAGTTGTAGACCACCATTACCACCTCAATTTCCACCTACATCGGGATGCCCTCCGTGTTGTCAACCACCAGCACCACCACCAGATCTACCGACTTCGAGATGTCCCTTGTGTTGTCAACCACCTCCACCTCAACCGTCTTCAGGATGTCCACCAAGTTGCCGGCCACCTCAGATTAGTCAACCACCATTACAGCCACAGAGTTGTCCACCAATTTGTAGACCACCCCCACCGCCACCACCGACTTCTGGATGTCCTTTATGTTGTCAACCACCACCACCGACATCTGGATGTCCTTTATGTTGTCAACCACCACCACCTCAAACTCCACCGATTTTGGGATGTCCACCAAGTTGTCAGCCACCTCAGATGGGTCAACCACAATTACAGCAACAGAGTTGTCCACCAACTTGTAGACCTCCACCACCACCACCGACTTCGGGATGTCCTCCAACTTGTAGACCTCCACCACCACCACCACCGACTTCGGGATGTCCTCCAACTTGTAGATCTCCACCACCACCACCGACTTCGGGATGTCCTCCAACTTGTGGACCTCCCCCACCACCACCGACTTCGGGATGTCCTCCAACTTGTAGACCTCCACCACCTTCACCGACTTCGGGATGTCCTCCAACTTGTGGACCTCCACCACCACCGACTTCGGGATGTCCTCCAACTTGTAGACCTCCACCACCACCACCGACTTTGGGATGTCCTCCAACTTGTAGACCTCCACCACCCCCACCGACTTCAGGATGTCCATCAACTTGTAGACCACCACCACCACCACCTACTTCGGGATGTCCTCCAACTTGTGGACCTCCACCACCACCGACTTCGGGATGTCCTCCAACTTGTAGACCTCCACCATCACCACCGACTTCGGGATGTCCTCCAACTTGTAGACCTCCACCACCCCCACCGACTTCAGGATGTCCTCCAACTTGTAGACCTCCACCACCACCGACTTCGGGATGCCCTCCAACTTGTGGACCTCCACCACCACCACCGACTTCGGGATGTCCTCCAACTTGTGGACCTCCACCACCACCACCGACTTCGGGATGTCCTCCAACTTGTAGACCTCCACCACCCCCACCGACTTCAGGATGTCCATCAACTTGTAGACCACCACCACCATCACCTACTTCGGGATGTCCTCCAACTTGTAAACCAACACCTCCACCTAATTCGGGATGTCCACCAAGTTGTCAGCCACCTCAAATGAGTCAACCCCAATCACAGCCACAGAGCTGTCCGCCAACTTGTAGACCTCCACCACCACCAACTTCGGGATGTCCTCCAACTTGTAAGCCACAACCTTCACCTAATTCTGGATGTCCATCAAGTTGTCGACCACCTCAAATGAGTCAACCACAGTCACAGAGTTGTCCTCCAACTTGTAAACTACCTGAGCCACCAACTTCGGGATGTCCTCCAAGTTATCGGCCACCCCAAATAAAACAGCAACAATCACAGTGTTCTCCAAATTGCAAACCACAGCCTCCACCTAGTTCGGGATGTCCTCCAAGTTGTCAACCACCTCAAATGAATCAAAAACAGTCACAGGGATGTCCTCCAACTTGTGTAATGCCAACCCCACCGACGCCGGCGTCAGGATGTCCTCCAAGTTGTAAACTACCATCACCACCTCCGCCTCCTGGATGTTGTCCAAATTGCGGACAACCTCAAAACAACCACGGACCACAGGGTCAGACATCGAAAATATCGCAAGGTTGCCCTCCAACTTGCCAGCCACCTCAGATGAACCAAACACCACAAGGTTGTCCACCAAGTTGTCGGCCACCTCAAATGAACCAGGCTCCACAGGGCTGTCCACCAAGTTGCCAGCCACCTCAGATGAACCAAGCACCACAAGGTTGTCCACCAAGTTGCCAATCGCCACAAGTAAACTACGATCAATCTCCATATCAACAAAACTCTTACGGTTGCAGCCCGACTTGTCCACACAATCAATGAGTAAATTGGTAAATTTGTAAAATATTAATATAATAAACAACTAAATATTTATTGTGTGTTTATTCTTTTGACTTTCAGAACAACAATGAGGATTATACTTAAAGTAACCACATATAGTCACTTAAACTTTGGTTTCTAAACATTTATTTATAGTATATAATGGTGCTTTTTTGTCACACTTCCAATAATTTTGACATATATGACTTTTAATAACAATTGTTAGTAATTTTTGAGAGACAACCACATACTTTGATTTTCCTTTACTATACGGAGAATGGTCGCACTGCGTAGCTTTCTTTTAAAGTGCCTTTTAAAAGAAGATAGAAAACTCCGCCATTTTGAACCCTTATTACGTGTTGCCTACATCTTGGCGCAATATTTTTAATAGGTGCGTTTTAATCATCCGCTTCTGCTTCGGAATTGTCGGTTTTCTTGTTTTAATCTGACAGGTTAGAACGACTGAACCGACAATTCCGGAAGCAGAAGCGGATGATTAAATCGCACCTGATATTTTGTTTGCTGCTGTCAGTGTCAGTGAATATTATTTTTGGAGTCACAGTTTTATGCTAAAGAATCAGTTAGCTCACTCGGACCAGTTGAAAGTTCCAAAATAACATCCACTCCAGTGATACAAATTCAGGATAGGCAGAAGACTGCTGTTTTATTATAGGCGGTTGTCATATATTGTATTATCTGAGTTGCGCAGTGTATAAACTGGAACATTGAGATAAAAAGTGCCGACGCAGAGTGAGCGATCTGATTCTTTAGCTATACACTGTGTCATAGGGTTCAACATGGCCGCGCCCTATGTTGGGCGTGTCGGACCTCTCTCTTGCCCCGTATAGTAATCAAAGTATGTGGAGACAACAGATCAAATATAAGTCATAGCTACCTGAAATTTAAAATTTTTAATGAATGGAGCACAAAGATGTTAAGTCTATGATAAGAGCCATAGCTTGAATCATCAATATTGGAAATACCAACCACCCTCTAGTTGTAAGATAATCAATCACTATTTAATCAAATTCTCGAACAAATAATGTCGACGATGATTAAACAAATTCCTAATTTCTGCTTCAAATCCAGCGTACGTACCGATATGCCTTTAACAATCTACCATCTGACATACAAAGTACCTAATTACCTAACGACTAAAATGCGTATCATTAGCAATAATTGACGTTTTATATCCAACAACAAACACTCCTTACGGTGCAATCAGGCTGCCGAAGGTGTAACTACCCAAAAAAATTACTATAATTTTCTTTGGGTTCTCGTTTGACAGTTAAATAGGTATCCGGTTTATCAGAACTATAACTAGAAATACTAGATACCTACCTACTTAAAATTAATACCTACCTACAAACCGCAATAGATGAGAATGTGCATTCTTTTGAATGTATTTTTTTTTTGTAGAAATGCAGGTTTATATTATTTAGGAAATTTTTTTTAATGTTATGGGACTTATGAGTTTAAATTATTTTCATATTTCTATTAATTTTAGTAGTATATTGTCAACTAAAATACAAATTATGTTGTGTTTCAAATTCTTACCTGCTGATTACATGATCGGAGCATCTGGGGGTACTTTATAGAGGGGCGTTTTACTATTTTCAGATATATTTCTGTTATTTATGATTAGATAACAAAAATCTTTGAATAAGGGCTCTATAATTTTGATTAATATGAGGGCAAAATATTTTCGTTGACAATGAAGATATTGTATGAAAAACTGTTTCGAATAAAATGTCTGTGGAAATGTTTTATCGTTAACTCGCTTTTCGATTAGATAATATATTTCTTAACTTTATAAGATGTGTTGGACATATCAGATATTAACGGGTGTCCCAAAAGTTTTGGGAAAAAAATTAAAGACATAAAAAAAATATTTCAAAAATTTATTTATCCCTCATAATAATACGTACAAAGCACTGATCTGTATTATTTTACTGGATAGGATATAGGCTATATTTAACATACTAAAAAATCGTTCCACCAAGGAGACCGGAAGTGCAACAATTCTGGCCGATTTGGGCAAATTATGGTGGGTTCACAGAACTGAAATTTGGGATAATTTGACATACCTAACCTATAATTTGATTAGGTTTTCTTCTTATTCTTCTTCTATTTCTTTTGCGGCCGATGTCCTTCGGGAAATTTCACCCATGATTTGATTTTTTATGAAAGAAAATATAGAAATTGAAACGTGAAGCATATTGTGTCTTCAGGAATGAACGTTTATTGTTTATTTCATACTCTTTTTACTTTGTTTTCCACAATAAAAACATCCATCGTAGCTTGTTGACACAATTAAATGACAAATGTGATGACAAATGGAAATAGAGGTTACGTTAAATAACATCCGGTCCGCCATATTATTTGCCCAAATCGGCCAATTTTTCGGAACGTTTTTTAGGGGGCTATATCCTATCCAGTAAAATAATACAGATCAGTGGTACAAAGTGGTTCCTTATTAATAAATAAAAACTACTACAGCACCGCTAGGGGTCCATTTTCTTCGATATGGCGCAGTTTTGTCCTGACGCGTCTCATTAGGGTATGGCACTCTTCAACATCAAACTCCCTAATTTTTTGGAATAGCCTACGCCGCAGCTGCTGCTCGTTTTGAGCTTCCCAGCCATTTTCATAAACTTTTTCCCAAAACTTTTGGGACACCCGTTATAATGTAATCGGTAAAGAAAAATAAATACATTTTTGTTAAAAAATACCCAATGGAGAGAAATGTGCCATACCAGCTCTGCGACAAATAAAACAAATAATTCTCAACTACTACTTCGGCATAACTTTCTTCATACCTGTTTTTTGTCCCTTTGTTGTCATTGTGGTTGATTGGTTTCGCCTTTAATAATTCATAAAGGCGATTGTTTGAATCAAAAGTTGAATCGCAACTTCTCTAAATGGAGTTCCATCGGAGATACAAAGAAAAACGCAGTCGCACTACATCAATTCCGAACGACTGCGAGTCGATTTTTAGGTTCTTGCACCTGATCGAACGGGTTCTGTTTTTACCGAAAAATGACTTACATGTTTTATGTGGCGCTACCGCTTCGAAGTTGGGTTTTTTATTTTGAAATTATTATCCTTCTGGTTTTCTTCGTATAACGGGATGATAAAAAATACGAGGTAAATAGAAAAACCTCGAAAAAGGAAAAAGTCTTAGGTGTCTAGTATACAGTGTGGAACAGCCGAATGGAATAAATAATATTCTTATAAAAATAAAATTTAGCTAGCAACTATGATTCTTTACTTCTTATTTATCTACCAAAAAGGGCTAAAAACCACCTTTAGTAAATATTCTTATAAAACTAGGTACTTTTTAAAAACAAAAGTAATATGAAATCTGTTTTCTGAAATATGTATTTGATGCTTAATATTTATTGAAACCCCTTAATGCGGATCTGAAGTATTCAGCCCAAAGGATCATGGCGCTTAATATCAAAGAGTTAATAAATATTTACCGCTGAAAACACTGATCTGTATTATTTTACAGATCAGTGGCTGAAAACGAATATATATTTTTTATCTTTCATAACATTGGTACTTGTATTATAAATATATACAATATTTCAAGACATATCGTGGCATTTTGAACTTAAAATTGAATAACTAGAACACTTTAAATTGTTAAAACACCAACAAATAAATCAAAAAACAGCTGTCAATGGTGATTGAACTCAGGCGGAGGTGAGCGTTGAATGAAAAATCGGAGCTATTCGAGTGGCGTCGTGCAAACAATGATTTTCAATTGGTGGGTTACTTGGAGTTAAAATAGACAACATGCGCAGTGTGCAATGTTACGTCTTCGGTCTCTTTAATCTAAGGAAACGCCTGACACCTGCATCGAAATTTGGTCCATTTTCCAAGAATGAGAGGAGAATACTATTAATTTCACTTAGAGTTATTGTTATTTGTACATGTTATGTACGTATTAAATGTTTGAAGGCACCTTACTTTTATTAAATGATTAAACTATACCTACCTGTTGTTTCAAATATTTTAATATATTTTCTATTCATATTTTTTGGAGTTTTATTACTTAAAAAAAACTAATATTTATGTTAAATACAGTATCTTAATGCAAATATTAGTTTTTTTAAGTAATGGATGCCAAAAAATGTAAATAAATAATAAAGGACATTTGAATTAGCCGCGATTGGCACAGAACTGAAATTAGGAGAATGGATTTGGAAGTTTACAAAAACGTTTCTACAAGGGGAATAAAATTGAGGTTTTTTTTGAGTTTGCGCAGTAGGTGCCAAACAAGGTCATAATTTGAAAAAATATATATAACAATGTTTTCAAAAAAAAAAAAAAAATAACGGCGGGTTGTACAATACGCGGTTAATCGTCCCAAAAATTGTTTTTAAATGAATAAAATTTACATTTATTTTCAAATCACTTTCACGAATGACAAATTTACATGTCTGACAGTTACACACTGCGCAAACTCAAACCTCAATTTTGAACTTAATGGAACGTAAATTTTGAGCAAGAATTGACATCAAATCTATTCTCCTAATTTCAGTTCTGTGGCGGTTAAACTTGACACTCTTCTTTTTAATTTTCTTCTTTTATGCTGACTCTAACTGTCAAGTTAATCAGCCAATTGTGTAGCGTGTGATGGTGGCGCCAAATAGTATGGCCGGAACTAACTACTTGTTAGCAGTGCCATGCATTTAAACGGTTTATCTTTTAATATTAATTTATCTATGTAAGATAGTAAATGGTAAAACCACAGAATAACCTACCTATTACAGAGGCGAAGGATAGCTAATTTTGAGGGTCTAAAATTGTTTGCGTATGATCAGGTTATGGAGGGTAGAGGAAAGGAGAACAATCTCTGTATACAAAAAGTGTCCCTCAAAATGTATACAATTAAGATGGCGCTTCTGTGCCCAGGGGACGTCGACAGTCGATAATTCAGATCACACAATGACACCAATGATGTATATAGTAATAAATATTGCTCAACCATAAAAAACTAAAAACTACACCGTAAAAAGTGACTGATCGTAGAAGAGTAAGTGTTC